TTCTCCCTGGTTCTCCCTGGTTCTCCCTGGTTCTCCCTAGTTCTCCCTGGTTCTCCCTGGTTCTCCCTGGTTCTCCCTGGTTCTCCCTGGTTCTCCCTGGTTCTCCCTGGTTCTCCCTGGTTCTCCCTGGTTCTCCCTGGTTCTCCTTGGTTCTCCCTGGTTCTCCCTGGTTCTCCCTGGTTCTCCCTGGTTCTCCCTGGTTCTCCCTGGTTCTCCCTGGTTCTCCCTGGTTCTCCCTGGTTCTCCCTGGTTCTCCCTGGTTCTCCCTGGTTCTCCCTGGTTCTCCCTGGTTCTCCCTGGTTCTCCCTGGTTCTCCCTGGTTCTCCCTGGTTCTCCCTGGCTCTCCCTGGTTCTCCCTGGTTGCCAGTGCACCACTTAAGCCGCAGTTCATACATATTACATTGCGATGGAAACTGCATTACGATGAAAACTGCGATAAAAACCCGCGCCGTAACACTCTCACGGCTGTTACAGCGCGGGTTTTTATCGCAGTTTTTATTGCAATGCAGTTTCCATCGCAATGTAATATGTAAGTACTACGGCTTTACCTGGTCATGAGGTATCAACCTTAACATCAGTGACAAGAAAATAATCTACTGGTATAGATTTGTAATTTGAATGTATCATTAACGCTCAGTTAAGTTAATTTATAAGTTTATAAGATCATGCTGACTAAAATAATGGGGGTATTAAACTTGGGGGGAAGATGACAATATTAACGTATATTAAAATGTAGGTTTTTTCCAATTTTGATGTTACATTCAAATTTCCGATTTTGGGGCTTCGGTATATTTTAATATACTTTACTATACTTAAATATGGTCATCCCCCCCCCCCCCCCCCCCCAACTTTTTATTCTTTGGCAGGTTTGCAGTTGTTTATTTCACTAGAAAGATTCCAGCACAATGATGTTTCTTACGGCTCCGCTCGGACAGCAAAACTGCAAAACAGTTATCTTCAATCTGATTTAGTTAAACATCTCTAATAAACTGCCGAACTGATAGACTACAATGATTATGTTATCATTTCATTAATTATGTTATTACTTCTTAAATTATGGTAATATTTCATTAGTTATGTTATTAATTAATTAATTGTATCATTATGTAATTATATAGCCTATTATATAATTCTTATTAGTATTTACTATTTCCTAAATTACATGTTATATGATTGCTTCCCTTGGTAACACCAAGTTGACGGGTTGGGCGTTTTCTATTAAGTTATTAGCCGCATAGAATATTCTCATTTTTTCTCCTAACAGCTTGGATGTTGAATAATCAATAAATACATACGGATACTTTAATCTTTATTGGAAGGAATAATTATTTATTGATTTTTATGTAAACACAGCTTCATCAGAACTTAAATTATATTAATATTAATTATTTGTTATCCTGCCTACCTGCCTAGGTCGATCCAGATGAAATCTGGAACGAGTTTCGTGTCAACGCTTCTCTCCATTTATCCCTATCACACATGAGTAAACGCAGCTGGTCAGGTTCCATTCCAGTGTCTTCAAGTAGGACGTCTGGGAAGGTCTTATGTGGTCGTCCTCGATATCGCTGGCCATAGGATGGTTGCCAGAAAAGGAGTTGTTGAGCAGGTTGGTCCTGTAGACGGTAGACATGTCCTGCAAAACGAAGTCTTCGTGTCTTTATAGTATCTGTCACCGATGGAATCTTTCCGTAAAGAACGGAGTTAGGTGTATGTGATTTCCATGAGATACCAAAGACCCTTCGTAGCATTCTAGTATAAACACCGTCTAGTGCTCTGCTATCAGCCTTTTTAAGAGTCCAGGTTTCTGCACCATACAGCAGAACAGGTTCTACTGCAGTTCGAAAAATCTTAGTCTTGATCTTCCTGGACATATTAGATTTCCAAAAAGCATCTAGACTCTGTAAAGCTTTCCATGCGAGGCCTTTCCTGACATTGATGTCTCTGCTTGTTGAGGCTATAAAGGATCCTAGGTATTTAAAGTCATGAACTTCTTCTAAAGGGTTGCCGTTAATAAAGACTCTATCGTCTGAGTTGACAGGTCGCGGGATGTTATAGGACATGTATTTGGTCTTTCCGATGTTAATAAGGAGACCATAACGGGCTGCTATGTCAGAGATGCTTTGGCAAAGGCGGCCATTTTCGCTGAAGCTGTCAGTAATTGTTGCTAGGTCATCGGCGAAGTCCAAATCAGCAATGTAGTTACTTCCAACTTTAAATCCATCACGTGGCCCTATTGCTAGTCTTAGTATGAAATCCAGGACGATGATAAAAATGAGAGGTGCAAGAACATCGCCCTGGAGAATTCCGAGGTTGGTAAGGAATTCTAAGGTTATACCTTCAGGGGTCATGATTTTAGCCTTGGTGTTGATGTAGAGTGACATAATGGCTTTTATGATTTTTTAGGAAAGCCGTAGGAAGCCAGGATGTCGGGAAGATGCGATCTGAAGATGCAGTCAAAGGCCTTTGAGAAGTCAATAAAGGAGATGACACAAGGAAGCTGGAAGTTCACAACCTCTTCGATGATACGTCTAAGAGCCAGAATCTGTTCACGAGTCCCTCTTCCAGGCCGGAAACCATTCTGGTTGTATCGGAGGCGAGGTTCTATGTGGCTCCTGATTCGGTTGTTATCAAGATTTGAATATTACCAACACGTCTAGGTACTTGTAAAAACTAATGTTGAATGAAACCATCATGATAAGTGTCACCTACTGTAGTTGGGTCAGTAAATATAATAAACGTCAATTATATCTTATAATGAGAAGGGTTAGCACTGTATCATTTTATTATCATTAAATCGAATGACGTGTCTAGTGAGTCCATTTTATTTTACACTCGGTCTATTCGCCGGATGTATATTTACTGAATCCATGTTTTTGTCGGTAATGCTCAATTGACACGATGGAAACACTATAAGGTATTCCATGGCTTATAGTTGTAATATTTGCAAAATAATATTTGTGATATGGGAGACATATGAGGTGATGGATTATCCATTGAATTATATTTAATATTTATTGAACTTGACCGACAATAACGCTGCTTCAACCATTCAATGTTCGGTAATGGGTGAATGGTCCAATCATGTACAATAAACTGGAACGTTACTAGGTTACTAGGTTACTAGGTTACTAGGTTACTAGGTTACTAGGTTACTAGATTACTAGGTTACTAGGCTACTAGGTTACTAGGTTACTAGGTTACTAGGCTACTAGGTAACTAGGTTACTAGGTTACTAGGCTACTATGTTACTAGGTTACTAGGTTACTAGGTTACTAGGCTACTAGGTTACTAGGTTACTAGGTTACTAGGTTACTAGGTTACTAGGCTACTAGGTTACTAGGTTACTAGGTTACTAGGCTACTAGGTTACTAGTTTACTAGGTTACTAGGTTACTAGGCTACTAGGTTACTAGGTTACTAAGTTACTAGGCTACTAGGTTACTAGGTTACTAGGTTACTAGGTTACTAGGTTAATAGGCTACTAGGTTACTAGGTTACTAGGTTATTAATTATTATGTTTTGGTATTACCATCGTTAGTATGCTATTTTTCGTGATAATATTCTTGTTTTGTGTGAACAGAATTTTATGTGGAAAAATTTTTAGATTTAAGAATACCTGACGTTTAGTTGAAGTTGTTTATAAAATTGATAAAATACAAAATATATTGTAATTGCTTTTTAACAGTTATTCTAAAAAACCTTACACTGATAAATTGTTGTTGATTAATTTCCATTATTCATGCAGCTTATTGAATCGAATTTGGTTTATAATTTTATGTATAATTGACAGTGATATTATTTCTTTTTGAATTGAAATATTGTTTTGTTTTACTATACATTCATAGTAAACTGTAGCCGAATAGATGCCGAATAGAGGCCGTATAGTTACCGTATAGTGACCGTATAGTGGCCGTATGGTGGCCGTATAGTGGCTGTATGGTGGCCGTATAGTGGCCGTATAGTGGCCGAATGGTGGCTGTATTAGAGGTTGTATTAAAGACGCTGTAAAGTATAAAAAGTGCAAACCTAATCTGTTGATTGTGTGTGGCCTTTGTAATAGCAATACCTAACGTGTAGTATGTGTATTTCATTTTTGCTCTAATGAATTGCTTCTAACATTTTCATGTGAGCTATTAATGCAAAATTGGCAGGTTCAGCAATAGTACAAACATCACATAGATTCTTTATAACAATCTTGTCATTTTTCTCAAAACACGTTTAGTTAATAATAATAGTTTCATTAACAATTTCACGAAATCCCTGCAATCTCATGAAAATGATTCAAAACACATGAAAAAAAACTTTATTATCACAGCAACAGAGAAATTCACTAATATTCAGACAGTATACCATTAATATGATGATTGCACAATTATAAGTTCATCAGAACTATGCCCAACTGTACGTATATTACTGGGCGGCGCTCAGCCTGGTAACCTGGTAACCTGGTAACCTGGTAACCTGGTAACCTGGTAACCTGGTAACCTGGTAACCTGGTAACCCGGCGCTCAGCCTGTCATTCCGCCGAATCTCTATTATGTTTATGAACATTATTATAGCCTGGTAAAACTACATATTACGCACCGCATCGAATGAACTTATGAGATGACAAGTACATAACACCTCATATGCATAGAACGAACTTCTGAAGATGACCACTTCTAGAATCATGTGCTCATGGGGCAATATACCTTTATTTCTTAATAAATTTTGCATGTGCTAAGAAATGTCGTTAGAATTATTTAAACTTCTTCTGGTCTAATCAAGTCTTGTTAAGCAGCTAGATTAGAATCGGGAGTAGCTATTTTCACACCTCATAGGATGGCCTTACTTAATGATGTGCATTGGAACACAATAGATCAATAGATTGGTTACAAAGCTGCTTCCCTTGAACATTTGTACATTTCTTTAGTTTTCTCAACAAAGTGTACCCTATTCTCCTATTGTCTTGGTATTTAATGTAGGGGTATGAATCTTGTGTATCGCTATTTTTCGCAGTTTAATCTCATATCTTGAATCTATAAGTAGCTTAGTTCTATAAATAGTTTGGTTCTAAATCTGATAGTTTAATAGTTTACCACCTGCTTGTTTGTATAATTAGCTTGGTGATAAAGTTATGATAGTTTTAATACTTCACTAATTTACCACCAATTTACCACCTGCCCGCCAGTCATTTCTCCTTTTCTTCCTACGATGTCCCGGAGCCTACTGCTGATCACGCTGTGCTTCATTTTATTAATGCTGGTTAATCCAGGTGAGTTTATTTAGTTAATTTACATATTACGTAAGTCAATTCTAAGGGGTAGAGAGTTTGGAATAATTAATAATTTCAACACAATATATTCCTAAAGTGATGGAGTGGGGTCTCAAATGACCAAAACCTGGTTTATGTAATATGTGAACTATCCCCTGAAATTTCTGACGCAAATTTCGCACTTTCAGGATACCGCCGTTAATTTGATATTGCTTCATTAATAATGTAATTAGAATATTAATTATTAGATAAGTGCCAAATTAATATTCTCCTTCAAGATGTATCATTCGGCAAAAGTTTATCAGCTTCCTATTTCGTTTCTATGAACAATTTTACAATTCACAATGACAAGCAGTTTTTCCTTTCAGGACTAACAAAGAAAAACAAAAAAAGGAGAAACAAAAATAGATATGATGTATGAAATTTTAAGCTTGATAAGTAATCCTTCAATATTACAGTGTACTATTTATTAGCTGGTTTATTCACTTTGCCTCAATGAACCAATATAAATCAAAATGTTAAAGACATCACTTTTCAAATCAAAACATATGCAAACAAATTTAGTCCAGTTTGTAATCGTTAAACGAACATCATGATCTCTTCATGGATTATCGCAAATTATTTAAATAAGCTTCAATTAATAAATAAGCTGTAATCTCCACAGAATCTGACAACCTGCTCAGGACATCAACTACGGGGCATGACCTGCGAGTGTTTAGCTTCTAACTACAACATGAGGGGGTGTCCTGATGATTTAAAAAAAGGTAATATACTTTTTGTATATAAAATGGTAACCTGGTAAACTTGTAAACTTGTAACCTTGTAAACTTGTAACTCGGTAACCTGGTAACCTGGTAAGTGGTAACCTTGTAACCTTGTAACCTTGTAAACTTGTAACCTTGTAACCTGGTAACCCTGTAACCTTGTAACCTGGTAACCTTGTAACCTGGTAACCTCATGGTATTGAATCCTCCCTCTCCCGCCTAGGTTCCAAACAGTGCATCCACTATGAAACCTACTGTAAAAGCTCCAAATTATCACCAGCAAAACAGGGTAAAATGTGTTGTCAAGCTATCCTTTGCAATATCAACCTTAAAAACTGTTGATTTGACGAGTTGGGAATATAAACGGTAGTGGAAGTATTGTGGAAGCACTACCAATACCATAACTTCATAATGTAGCAATGTTGAGTTAATTACTGATTACGTAATTTATAGACAATAATTTTGAGCCGCTTTGGAATTTCTTGGAAGAAAAATTACATAATCGAGATCAATGATGAATTTATCCACGATAACATTTTGAAGATTTCATAAACGTGCGATTTTATAAAAGTGTTTAATTAACAAATATATACTTTGTAAATGTAATATTAGAAATATAAGTATTTGAAATGTTGTTTATCTAATGTATGTGAAAAAGTATACACCGTGTTGACTATTGCAGAAAGATTGTATATTGCAACAAACATAACGCAGACACACGGTAAAATTGTATTTTAACTTATCCCGCGACGCGCAGGACACTGATAAGTAGATAACAATCCAAAGTGGTAAACTTGTATCAATTAGACGACTACGACCCCGCATTAACAGCAAGTTTTTTGACCTGGTAACCTGGTAACATGGTTACCTGGTAACCTGGTAACTATCAGACGTCTAGGACCCCGCATTTACAGCAAGTTTGTGTCGTGGAACTGTTTTCGTTTTGACACTGTTTACAGGTCCAAGAGTAGGATGGTGGCCCTGAAACAAATGTTTGTGTATAATTAATAATCAGTTATTAGAATATATATTCACGTGATATCATTATCAGTGCAGTGTGTACAACACCAACTACACCGATCAATTGCCAATCTGCGAAACATTTAATTATTATTATCACTTCGAGATGGCAGGGCCTACTCTCATGCTGTCTATAGGTGATGATTGATTCTGAAAAACTAGGGACAACTGGGGAATGATCCCAGAACCTCGACATATCGCGTGTCTTGCTCTACCTATTGAGCTACTGACCCTGATTCTCAGAGCGAAATCATCTGGGATCATTCCCCAGTTGTCCCTAGTTTTTCAGAATTAATCATCACCTATAGACAGCATGAGAGTAGGCCCTGCCATCTCGAAGTGATATAATTAATTACCCGTTCATATAATATAGTGTCCGTGCCGTATACACAGGCTAACTGGTACACATACTTTAATTCGACAGGCACTCAAGTTGAAGTTCGATGCACGTACTGTAGTTCGACAAACCTAAAGTTCGACTTTGTCGAACTAAAGTGCGCTACCTGGACCTAAGTTCGACACGTACTAAAGTTCGGCAAGAGAACTTCGACTGGATGAGAAAGACATTCTTAAAGATAAAATTTTTAATTCGGAATATCTTTCAATTTAGATTTTTATCGAATAATTTTGAGTCTCATATGAAATTTGATAATGTTCCGTGAGCCAGAAGTAACGGTAATATTAGAGGACATGCACGTTCTCATGAGTTCTAACTCAAAAATTCAAACATTTTCAGAACCCCCGACTGGAGACCCCCGCGGTTTGCTTTCCACTTATCTCATGCTGTTTAACTAATATGCAATAATGTGTGTAATGTGCACGTTGTCATTATGTAATTTTATTGGGAGCTGATTGAGACAATTGATAATGATAACTTCTTTACAATCTGGTGCTAAGCTGACCTCAGACTCAATTGTTAGTTAGCACAATTGTAGACTAAGCGGTGCCCCAGGTAGCTCGTACTCCGTTTTATAGATCAATATTGTAGATTAAGTTTGTAAGGTTCTAAAATTTGCAACTGCTGGTTGCTTGATATCAGAAAATAGTTTTTAAGATTACCTAAACTTAATTTCTGATCTCGTGCACCTGTTATTGAACCATTTGATCCTATGATAAGGACCCGGCAATAGCCCATGGATCACAAGCAGAAACTATTTGTCGAACTAGAGTACGCTACATAGACTCTAGTTCGACACGTAGCGGAGTTCGACAAGGAAATATTTCCTGTAGATTCTCGGTATATAAGCAAAATTTGATAGAGCATCTTGTGGAGTGAGCTATGTGCCCAGCCTTGGCGACTCGGTGGGTGTCCTTGCTGTACGGCGGCGTTAAACAAGGAACTGAAACCGAGGGGTTACGTTCAGGCTTTGTTTCTGTCTGGTTCTAATATACCTTTATAATAATGACTTTAATATTCAATGAGACAATGAGATACGCAAGCGACCGATTTCATTCTCGGTATCATTTCATTCTCGGTATCATTTCATTCTCGGTATCATTTCATTCTCGGTATCATTTCATTCTCGGTATCATTTTTCATTTGCGGATGGTCATTCAAATATCATTTACTTTTTAATGTGGGCGGTCGTACATAAATACAGACGTAAAGGTTGGTTTCTGGTTTGAGCAGCATTTATCCATGCTCTATTTGACCTCCAATAATGGTAGTTATGATGTCAATTGTCAGTGTGTGGTTAGCAAAATGTTTCACCTCCTCCGGTAAAATCTTTAACGGTAACTTTTTAACGGTGAGAATCAGTAACTTCCATCAAAACCACACATTATAAGTTTATACGACCAATTTAGCCCTGACTCCTCGGGCGGATATGATATGGGCGGATATGGGTGGAAATGCTGCTGTGAGATTCGTTTAAGCTCTTTAAACTTTTAAAGCCTGCGAATCAATAAAACTTGAGTACGAGTGCCTGCAAAGCAGATAAGTGTTCACCAATCTGGTAACCTGGCAACCTAGCGAACCAGACAAGTTTCCACCGATTAATAGTTAGTGCTCACATACACGGTCAGATCGCTTCCTCTTAACCTGAAATAAGTGGATTTGTTTTGACTAGTTTGGGCTTGTTGCGGTTTCCTTTTCCAGTTGCTGACTAGTTGCTTTTGCAGTTATAGCATTATATTATTGTTTTTACAAGATCTGTGGTCTAATAATTATGAAATTAGTCTGTACGTGACCGCTAATTAGTCTGTACGTGACCGCTAATTAGAGCAAATAATAACAGGGATAGAGGGATAGATCAGGGATAGAGGACACGTGACACGTAGAAACTGTAGTAATGTGTATGTGAGCACTTAACAGTCCGTATCAGCAGACACGGAGAGCACTTAACAGAGTGATAACAACGTGAAGGCACTCCTCGAGCTCTTTGGTTGGTCAAAGTAACCGATTTACGTGACGTCGGGGTTTTCATTGGCCAAGTCTCAGGTTTGTATACAACTCCTTTAAATGCCGAGCACCGAGGACTTTACTTTTCAGTTCCAGTTGTTATGATCCAGTAGTTCTGCTGAACAGATAAATATTTCACTTTCTGTAGAGGAGATTATCGCTGTGTAATTGTTGGGTTAATCATGAAGATTGCCAACTTCTTGTGGTGAGTGATGGGTTGCAACTTAATTGCTTAAAGTTTAAGTAGATTAATATTGTTAAATGTTTAGAACTGTCATCAGACTGTACAGTGTACTGATATACAAATTACAGATTATTTTATTTTCAGGATTGTGCTGCTATTTCAGCTGTTCACCGTCTCCTATCAAATTTGTAAGTAAAACCTTGTCTCAAAAAGTTAATATTCATCGTTAGAAATGAATTAGAAATACTGTTTCGCCCCAATGCTAATACCAATAGAACCATTAGCCACCACCAGTTCCAATACCACCAGCTCCAATACCAACAGCTCCAATACCATTCCAGTCCTAATTACCATGGTTACTACATCAACATGAGTCCCCCTATCTTATTGATTTTATTTTTTATAACTAATACATTTCAGGGATGAAAAACCCGCTCTTAGATGATAACAAAGAAGCTCAACTCAGCGAAGATATTGAGACTGTTGGTAGCCATGGTAACGGTGGTCTAAAGAAACGGGAAGTAGGACACGGTATATCTCTCGTGAAGAAAAGAGAGATTGGTCACGGTTTAATGTTGCTGGACGCAGCTGATGAGGGGAAATCGTTTGTGAAAAGGAGCAAATATTTCGCTGCGTAGACTATTATGATTGAATTTCAATTCAAAGCGAATGAACTTTTTGATGTATCATTAATCAATATTTTAGTAGGATCTAGTTTAGAGGAACTAAATAATATTGGTTTTAAACACTAACAGTGCTGCAAAATCTTTAAAAAGTAAATTTCTTGTTTTATTGAATGTTATTCGGCTGCTATTTGAACCAGAACACCAAAACAACAGGTTAAAACAATCAAAGGATCTTTACAAAATTTAGTTACTTAGAATTAACGATTGTTTCAAGTTAGTTGGACGTTACCAAATTTTATTTTATCTTGTTTTGCTGAATCAGAATATTGTCGGTAAGGTTGTCAAAACCATCAGACCAAATATTTTAGTAAATACCAAGCATAATTTTAGTTTGTAATATCTATATCACAAGTAATTGTTACAGTCTCTCATTGTACACAGGAACCGTATAAAATGGTATAAAATTTAAATATAACGAATAATATCATCCTATTAAGCAGAGTAGTTATCGAATTACCATGACTACCAGTCGGCATGCAGACCATCGTTGTTTAATACGTCAAAACATCGGCTCAAAACACGGCGTATTCAATGTTCAATTTTCATTTATTATAACTTACGAAAGCCAAAGGACTTTACCGTGCCGTAGTTTTAATTAACCTTCATCAAGATCTTAGGGCTCAAAGTAGCAGAAACTTGAGAAAAGGCCTGATTTTGATAGAGAGAGAGAAAGAGAGAGAGAGAGAGAGAAAGAGAGAGAGAGAGAGAAAGAGAGAGAGAGAGAGAGAGAGAGAGAGAGAGAGAGAGAGAGAGAGAGAGAGAGAGAGAGAGAGAGAGAGAGAGAGAGAGAGAGAGAGAGAGAGAGAGAGAGAGAGAGAGAGGGAGGGAGAGAGAGAGAGAGAGAGAGAGAGAGAGAGAGAGAGAGAGAGAGAGAGAGAGAGAGAGAGAGAGAGAGAGAGAGAGAGAGAGAGAGAGAGAGAGAGAGAGAGAGAGAGAGAGAGAGAGAGAGAGAGAGAGAGAGAGAGCTAGGGGGAGAGGAAAATGGGGGCGCCAGTGAGTCAGGGTGAGCTTAACACCAACTTGTACCTCAACCTGTTGGCTAGCATTGTTGTGATATATTTTATAAATTAACACTCGTTAATAATAATAGCATATTTTTCAGCAGCATGAGATAGCTGCAAATTATAAAATAAAAGCGTCTATTTAGCTCCTTTATAAATAAAAGCGTCTATTTAGCTCCTTTAGCATGCTATGTATTGTATTTCAGTTTATCTTTACCCATAAAGGGTTTGACCGTTGGGAGCGGTATCAAAAAAAAATTTAGCTCCTTTATCTGC